AATGCTACCCATTGGTCAGGTTCCTGTTGAAATGCTACCCATTGGTCAGGTTCCTGTTGAAATGCTACCCATTGGTTAGGTTCCTGTTGAAATGCTACCCATTGGTCAGGTTCCTGTTGAAATGCTACCCATTGGTCTGGTTCCTGTTGAAATACTACCCAATGGTCAGGTTCCTGTTGAAACGCCACCCGTTGGTCAGGTTCCTGTTGAAACGCTACCCATTGGTCAGGTTCCTGTTGAAATGCTACCCATTGGTCCTGTTCCTGTTGAAACGCCACCCATTGGTCAGGTTCCTGTTGAAATGCTACTCATTGGTCAGGTTCCTGTTGAAATGCTACTCATTGGTCAGGTTCCTGTTGAAACGCCACCTATAGGTCAGGTTCCTGTTGAAATGCTACCCATTGGTCAGGTTCCTGTTGAAATACTACCCATTGGTCAGGTTCCTGTTGAGATGCTACCCAGTGGTCAGGTTCCTGTTGAATTGCTACCCATTGGTCAGGTTCCTGTTGAAACGCTACCCATTGGTCAGGTTCCTGTTGAAATGCTACCCATTGGTCAGGTTCCTGTTGAAATGCTACCCATTGGTCAGGTTCCTGTTGAAACGCTACCCATTGGTCAGGTTCCTGTTGAAATGCTACCCATTGGTCAGGTTCCTGTTGAAATGCTACCCATTGGTCAGGTTCCTGTTGAAACGCCACCTATAGGTCAGGTTCCTGTTGAAATGCTACCCATTGGTCAGGTTCCTGTTGAAATGCTACCCATTGGTTAGGTTCCTGTTGAAATGCTACCCATTGGTCAGGTTCCTGTTGAAATGCTACCCATTGGTCAGGTTCCTGTTGAAATGCTACCCATTGGTCAGGTTCCTGTTGAAACGCCACCCATTGGTCAGGTTCCTGTTGAAATGCTACCCATTGGTCAGGTTCCTGTTGAAATGCTACCCATTGGTTACCCATTGGTCAGGTTCCTGTTGAAACGCTACCCATTGGTCATGTTCCTGTTGAAACGCTACCCATTGGTCAGGTTCCTGTTGAAACGCTACCCATTGGTCATGTTCCTGTTGAAACGCTACCCATGGGTCAGGTTCCTGTTGAAACGCTGTCCATTGGTCAGGTTCCTGTTGAAACGCTACCCATTGTTCAGGTTCCTGTTGAAACGCTGTCCATTGGTCAGGTTCCTGTTGAAACGCTGTCCATTGGTCAGGTTCCTGTTGAAACGCTACCCATTGGTCAGGTTCCTGTTGAAATGCTACCCATTGGTCAGGTTCCTGTTGAAATGCTACCCATTGTTCAGGTTCCTGTTGAAATGCTACCCATTGTTCAGGTTCCTGTTGAAACGCTACCCATGGGTCATGTTCCTGTTGAAACGCTGTCCATTGGTCAGGTTCCTGTTGAAAATAGTGTACTGCAGTCTTCTACTTCTCCTCACCTTTGCCCTGTTTAAAGCCCAGCGGAGCATATTTAATGCCGTTAAAAAAACATCTTTTCATGCCTGCTGGTTTCTTGCAATCTTCTGTAACTGTGGCAGCTCTTTCCAACCTTAAGTAAATCCTCTGCCTCACTATGCCAGGTGTTTTGGGGTCTTCCCCGGTCTCCTGACCCTTGGAGGTTCAATACCAGTGCATGACTTGTTACATTTGATATCGTCATCATGATGTCCCCAGCTGCTTATTTCTGCCACGTATATAACATATAGATGGCATGAGGCCTGACCGTTGATTCCGTAAGATCAGACAGCGGAAACCAGGACTTTTGTGTTTTCAAACAGATGAGCCCAGGACTCCTATGACGTCAAACAGATGAGCACAGGACTTCTATGAAGTCAAACAGATGAGGCCAGGACTCCTATGATGTCAAACAGATGAGGCCCGAACTCCTATGACGTCAAACAGATGAGGCCCGAACTCCTATGAGTCAAACAGATGAGGACAGGACTCCTGTGACATCAAACAGATGAGGCCAGGACTCCTATGACGTCAAACAGATGAGGCCAGGACTCCTGTGACGCCCGGAGTCGATAATCCCTTAAAATTCAAATGCTCCCCCGTGTCTCTCTTCTCAACAGTTTGAGACCTCTGACACCTTTTCATTTGAGGTTAAGGATATTTAATTAATCACTAATGAAAATAGTTTTATGAACTAACCTGGGGTCTCAATGAAGACATTCAAGACGTCCTACAACTGCACAATTCAATGATGTCACACATTTTACAACTTCACGAATCAATGATGTCAAACATCTCACCACCGGTGCGGCATGATTCAAAGATGTCACACATCTTACAACGTCACGATTCAGTGCTGTTATACATCCTAACATAAGTATGCATACCCCCCCCCCCAACCTCAAAAATAATGTGACACGGAATTAAATAGTTTTTTGCCGTGTCAGGACAGTGTAACCACTGTGTAATCTCCCGTGTTATCATATGTACCCTCTGTGTTTTCTCCTGTCCCGTGTGTTGCATCCTGTACCCTGTGTTATCTTATGTTCCCTCTGTACCATCTCATGTGCCACCTGTGTTATCTCATGTACCCTCTGTTTTATCCCGTCTCACCTGTTTCATTCCCTGCCCTCTCTGTTATCCCCTCTCCTCTCTGTAATACCGGTATCATATGTTTTCTTGTGTTATAGCATGCCCCCCTGTGTTATCTTTGTTCCCTCTGTGTTATCCGCTTTCCCCCTCTGTGTTATCTCCTGCCCCCTCTGTGTCAATGCATGTCCCATGTGTTTTCCCTTGACCCCTCTGTGTTATCTTATGCCCCCCCCCCACGTGTTCTAGTTCGATTAACAGATCAACGAAAACACGTCTGAATGAATTAGTCCGAGGCTGGGCGAAGAAATCACTTTGAGGACCCTTGTTATGGATTTGTGGTTTTATTACCAAAAGCAGCACATGTTGACGGGCGATATCTGTATGGCTTGGTTGACCATTGGTGAGTTTAATTTTGGACGGGCATTTGTCAAGCTATTTGAACGTTTCGATAATCGTCTTTTAGCACGCTACTAATGGAAGCTGTTGGTTTTATGTTCATACCCAAAAAGTCGTATAAAAACTGAATGAGGTTTAAATATCTGCATAGAGTTACAGAGAGGACATTGGGGAAGGCGATGTCCTCTAGAGCAATCCTTCCGCTCACGTTTAATACTGACGCCATGTCAGGCGTGCTCACAGCTGATGTACCTTAAATACGCCCACAAGGTCTCCCTTCTCATTACCGGAGATCAATGTTGATGTTCTCCAACCGTGGGCGTAGCTTGGGCCGAGATGTTAAAACACACGTTGTCGTTAGTCCTTCGTAGGCGAAGATGGCCTAGGCTACATTCAACGGTGATTAAGCAGGTGGCTTGGCGGTCTTATTTGTGCCTGGAAAGCTTTCTCGCACGCAGGACACATTTTGTTTTTTCAGGGACCATAGTTGGATTGGTGTCGCTTTTGCATTTCCTTGACACTCGCTTTCTTAAGGCGTGAGCAGGTGCGCTTACTCTCTGAAGATTTGGCTCCAACAGGGAGTCTGTCTCCAACAGGGAGTCCGTCTCCAAGAGTGAGTCTTTCTCCAACAGGGAGTCTGTCTCCAACAGGGAGTCTGTCTCCAAAAGGGAGTCTGTCTCCAACAGGGAGTCTGTCTCCAACAGGGAGTCTGTCTCCAACAGGGAGTATGTCTCCAACAGGGAGTCTAACACACCAGCTTGCACGCGTCCATAGTTGGAATTTAATTCAATGTCCATGGATTTGAGTGAAGCTTTTAGACAGTCCTTACATCGTGGTCTTTTTTTCGTGCCCTCTGACTCACCGTATTCCTCTGGAGAGTTCAACGAACATCAGTTGTTAATTAAGAAAATCTGCTTCTGGCATTCTCGCAACATGTCCTGCCCATCTGACTTGGGTCTTTTTTTAGGAGCGTGTGGGTGTTGGCAAAGTGAGCCTGTTGTAGGACTTCTGTATCCGGGACCTTTTCCTACCACCTTATGCGAAAAAGTTTACGTAGACAGCGTAGGCGGAGATGGTTTAGTTGTCTAGCATGTCTGCTGTACTCTGTCCAGTAAAACACATACCCCCTTTAGACTATGACCAAAGTGTCTTTTTGTGGGAACATGTTTGTTACATTCGGCGGAAATTTTTTTTTTTTTTTTTTTTTAAATCACTTACCATTTAGGATTCCTGTTTTATCACTGCCCAGTGCAGATATCTCAGGTACACCTCTGCTTTCCACCACAGAGATCTCAGTTACGCCTCTGCTTTTCACCACAGAGATCTCAGGTACGCGTCTGCTTTCCACCACAGATATCTCATGTACGCGTCTGCTTGCCACCACAGATATCTCATGTACGCCTCTGCTTGCCACGACAGATATCTCAGGTACGCCTCTACTTGCCACCACAGATATCTCAGGTACGCCTCTGCGTGCCATCATGATTTGACAATTGAGAAGCCTTCTCCCCACCTTTTTACCTCCTGCCCCCCCCCCTCACACTTTTTGAAGTCATACTTAGGCCTTTAAATTGAACGACTCCAGGAATCTGTCAAATTGACTCCGACATTGATTTCAGATTTTAAAAAAATAGACTGACTGATGACGGAGAAACGAATAAGGATTTTTTGAAAAAACGTTTAAGGATTCAATTCCAACGTCATTTGAAGATATGAATAAATCAAATACCGATGTCATTCAAAGATATAAATGAATCAAGTACAGACGTCTTTCAAAGATACGAATGAATCAAGTACCGACGTCATTCAAAGATATAAATGAATCAAGTACCGACGTCATTCAGAGATATGAATGCATCAACTCAGTGACTCCTCAGAAGCCCTCAGCTAAGATTCCAACTCAGTGACTCCTCAGTAATACTCAGGTAAGACTCCGACTCAGTGACTCCTCAGTAGTCCTCAGCCATGCACTATCCATAGCAAGATTGTTGGTGGGTGAAGTGGTGGTTGGGGGAGGGGGGGTGGGGTGTTGTCGATTTCTTAATTACCAGGTACGTAATTGAAACTGTCAGGCTAATGAAGGCAGCTCACAAAACAAGGGGGGCACAATTTATGTTTAAAAAACGAGTGGAAAGGGAGACCACTCGACGGCCACGTGATTCAAGGGGCCGCCCCCATATAAAACCCAAAAGACCCGTATTTGACAGCATCAGCAAAGTGCGTCCACCTGCGGCTGTACCAGTAGCGGACCCACTTGCCCTTCAGCTCAACCTTCTAACCTATACAATGAAGGTAAGTCCTGGCCCATCCGCCACGTAGACAAATTATAAAACATTGAATTTATGAGGGGAAAAAAGTGACCATTCTGTGACATCAATTCAAATACAGGCAATAAAATTGACGCCAAATAATGAATGCTATTTATGTAAGGATTTAATGATGTAAACAGACCTTCAACTGTTTTTTTTTTTTTTTTTTTTTTTGTGGGTTTTTTTTTTTTTTTTTTTTGTGGTGGTTATGTTTATTCCAAATGGATTTTCAGAAAACATGTGTTTGAAAATAGCTTCGTGTACAAAATTCAGAATTTGGAATCTTTGTGTCTCCGGATGTCTTCGAATGCGCATGACAACTTTTTCAGAGGATTTTGGCTTTAAGATTTTTTTTTTTTAAAAAGGTGTTTTCTTAAGTGACGAATGTGTAACAGCTTTATTTTGTCATCAAAATGTTTTGAGAATCCGTGTTGCACCATATGTTAGACGTTTACTAAAGTCGATGGCAGAGTGGGTAGTCACCCTGCTGGCAGTAAAGAGTGGTTAAGATGGAGATAATGCCTGCCACTGATGGCAACACGTTAGGGGACCGGAACATGCCATCCAACATTTTTCACTTCCCAAATTCAGGCCCTAGCCAAGTTGAGAATCCTTCTGCCATATAAGCTTGTGTAAATAACAATTCACACACAATTTAAATGTTTTAAATATTAGAAAAAAGCTATTAAGAACTTATTAACCAAAAGAATCCTTACCGTCCAGTGTGTACCCTGTGGTATTATTGTACCCACCCCACGTCATTTTAAAATATTGAGATGTAGTGTCAGTATTAATTCATAATTGTCCATTGCTCTTGAAAGCTTACATGGTTTTGAAATAAATTTCATATGGTTTTTTATACATTGGTCTGGATGATGGGGAGCGCACTGTCTCGAATGTTTTAGGCTTTCGTGTAAAACAGAAAAACTCCATAGTTTCAATTAGTTAACTTTGATGTTTGGACTTCTTGCAAGAGTAAGTCCGGATTTTTTTGCAAGTATCCCCCCCCCTACACTCCTTGCAAGTGTTCTCCCAGGCCTTTTGTAAATATTCTACCAGAATTATTGCAAGTATTCGCCCAGACTCCTTGAAAGAATTCTCCCAGATGTCTTGCAAGTATTCTCCCAGATGTTATGCAACTATTCTCCCAGAAATCTTGCAAGTATTCTCCCAGATGTTATGCAAGTAATCTACCAGAAATATTGCAAGTATTCTCCCAGACTTCTTGCAAGTATTCTCCCAGACTTCTTGCAAGTATTCTCCCAGACATTTTGCAAAACATACTCCCAGACGCCTTGAAAGTATTCTACCAGGGGTAATAAGGGGAGAGACTGCAATCAGGTTAGTACAAAATAAAATGAGTAAAACAGAGTAGGGTTAAACCTGAAAAAATAAACAGCGAACGTGTCGGCAGAAAGCCTTCGTCAGCGAACAAAACAACAGAAAAAACGTTATAAAAATAAGAAATAGCACTTAGCTGGTAAGTAGTATCTGTGGGCAGCACTTCTATTGCTGCCCACAGATACTACTTACCGGCTAAGTGCTATTTCTTATTTTTATTCTGTTGTTTTGTTCGCTGACGAAGGCTTTCTGCCGACACGCTCGCTGTTTTGTTGCGTTTATTTTTTCAGGTTTAACCCTACTCTGTTTTACTCATTTTATTAAGTATTCTACCAGACTTCTTGCAAGTATTCTCCCAGACTTATTTTACATATTCAACCAGACCCTTTGCAAATGAATACACAGATTTCTTGCAAGTATTCTCCAAGACTTCCTGCAAGTATTCACCCAGACTTCCGGGAAGTATTCTCCCAGACCTTCGATGTAGGTCACACCCGTTGGTCATCCTCGGCACACTTCGGAAAATGTTATTCGCTCCGTCTATTTGTTAAACGTATATGACTTACGTAATTGTCATTAGCATGAATTCAAACTACAAATAGCAAGAACGGTTTATTATTTACTTAGTTTCGTAGTTTTTACATTTGACTCGAAACCAAAAGGATACATCCGGGGTTCGTTATCATTTGATGACGTAAAGTTTCCGATGACTTGATTTTGCACACAGCCTTCCTACAGGCGGTATTTTCTTGGAATACTATGTTGATTTTTTTAAATAAAAAAAAAATGATCATCAAATACATTTGAATTGGCGCAGGCTGCCCTTGCCCTCATCGTGGCCCTTGTTGCCGCCGCCTCTGCCATCTCCCCAAGTGACGAGGAGACGAGAATCTCCGCACTGGAGCGTGTGTACGCCAATGTCGACATCCGGTGCCTGTTTGACGAGGTGCTCTGCAAGGATCTCCACACCGTCTGCCTGGACAAGCCGAAACTAAGTGAGTACATAGTCGGTCCCCAGTCTGTACACGATGGTGTGCACAGTTTTTACATGATTGTGTGCACAGTTTGCATATGATTGTGTGTACAATTTGTAAATAATTGTGTGCAAAGTGTGTAAATGATTGTGTGTACGATTTTTACATGATTGTGTGCACAGTTTTTACATGATTATGCGTAAAGTTTGTACACGATTGTGCGCACAGTTTGTACACAATCGTGCATACAGTTTGTACATGATTATGTGCAAAGTTTGTACATGATTGTGTACACCGTTTGTACATGATTGTGTGTAAAATTTGTACATGATTGTGTGCAAGGTTTGTACATGATTGTGTGCAAAGTTTGTACATGATTGTGTGCAATGTTTGAACATCTATTTTGAACGTGGAAAAAAAAGACTTTCCAAGGTCGTGGGACGCTCGCTCGCGTTCTTTTCTTCCTCCTTTCTTCAACTCATTTCTCCTGCCATTAGGTTGCAGCAGACGTCAGCGATATAACGGCCAAGAATATAATGAGTAGTGATATAAAGGGTCTACACGATGTCTCCCGTATCACGTTTTTTTTAAATCACCCTTTTAAATGTATTAGTAATGTACCTGGGTGATTCTTTACCGCCCCCCCCAACCCACTTTCCCCTTGTGAGCGCTGGACGCCACCTTCCCTCCGCGACCTTTGTCTGTTCTATGTGGCAGTGTGGGTCCTTGTATCGCTATTTAATTCGAGAGGAGTTCGTTCATAATATTTAAAGGCGTATTTAAAATACAAAAAAAAGTTTAATGTTAAAAATTATTAGAAATTTGTAGACTTTTGATTTAAAAAAAAACCACGATTATTCTTTCGCTAAAAGTTCAATGATTCGTTTAGTTTTTTAGCAAATCAAATTATCTAATACAGTGCTCGGTTAAAAAGAAAAAAAAAAAAATTAGTAGACATATTCATATAATTTTGTTTAGGTTTCAATCCTTAAAATTCATCTTTCCTGTTTGGCTCGTTGGCTGTAAGGGGACTTTTTTTTTTTTAACCTTTCCAAACCTGTTGCATGAAGTCCAATCCACAGCATTACTCAAACCACCAAAGACAACTGTCTGGTGCTGTCTCGGGAACCGTCTTTTTATCCTTTTGGGTTTCGAAAAAATATATATATATATAAAAAATACGAGCAGAATTTTTTTTTTTTTTAAAACGAATATTGATATTGTTTCCTTTCAAAAAATTATTTCGTTAGCTGGAGAAATTCAAATGTCGCTTCCTCCCTATTCCACTGTGTACACGTCTCGGATGTGTACAGTGTACATGTTCCTTGGGCTATGTCAACACAAAACAGATATTCGGCAAATTTCTGTAGAGTTTCTGGTCGTTATTATCAAACAAATTACAATTTATTTCAACAATGTTTTAAATAGGTAACGTTGAGAAGTCTTTTCATTAATATATTATATAAATAATGTCTATACCAAATCTGTCAGGTTCCATTCACAGTGTTAAAAAATACATATAAAAATCTCCCAGTTACTGTATTCAGTATAAAAAATGTATAAATATCAAATCTCCCAGTTACCGTATTCAGTATAAAAAATGTATAAATATCAAATCTCCCAGTTACCATATTCAGTATAAAAAATGTATAAATATCAAATCTCCCAGTTACCGTATTCAGTATAAAAAATGTATAAATATCAAATCTCCCAGTTACCGTATTCAGTATAAAAAATGTATAAATATCAAATCTCCCAGTTACTGTATTCACTATAAAAAATGTATAAATATCAAATCTCCCAGTTACCGTATTCAGTATAAAAAATGTATAAATATCAAATCTCCCAGTTACCGTATTCAGTATAAAAAATGTATAAATATCAAATCTCCCAGTTACCGTATTCAGTATAAAAATGTATAAATATCAAATCTCCCAGTTACTGTATTCAGTATAAAAAATGTATAAATATCAAATCTCCCAGTTACCGTATTCAGTATAAAAAATGTATAAATATCAAATCTCCCAGTTACCGTATTCAGTATAAAAAATGTATAAATATCAAATCTCCCAGTTACCATTTTCATTATTAAAAAAAAAAAAAAATTGAATCTATTCCCAGTCTTAACACAGAAGATATACTGCGACATTGAGATGAAACGGTGTATCGACGGGTTGCCCGACGACTGCAAGAACCTCAACTCGGACAGCAAGCTGACCACACCTAAGCCAATCAGATAAGCGGTCACCCAGTTATGGGAACAAACAATGGCACCGTGGCGAGTTGTTACAGCGCCTGTTAGGTGACCCCATTAAAGCAACCAATAAAAAGTCAGATTTCTTTTCTCTCTTCCTCTTTCGCATTTATTACGGTTGCTGCACGGCTTCACTTCCGGTTAGAAGAGTACACGTTTTAAACATGGCTGCTGTGGCAAATTCAAATTGGAACTACCTTATTCATTCTTTTATGTGGAGGGGTTTTATAGAATAGGTTATTACCCTTTGGCTTAGTGGAACAGGTCTTACTTGTTAAGAAAAAAAAAAAAAACTATCTCGTTACATACCTTTTATTTGCATTTCGGTTTGCACAATAAAAACGTTGCTACAATAAGTCATTTCAAGCTATTTTTTTAAAGACGCGTTTCAGATTTTTAGTATATAAATATCTGTGGCGTACGACTACATCAGATACATGCGGTACAAGTACGACCACGAAGGTAATTTAAAAAAAAAAAAATTCATTTTCGGAGAGAAAAGAGCGAAAGGGTTGGTTCATATCATTTCCGCTTTCACGTCATTCGTGGTTGTCATGGTTGGGCTAAGTCAAGTAAACATGGATTGGATGACGTTGCCGTGAACTGTGAATAATTTCTTTCATAAATAAATATTTAAACTTTTACTTTGAATAATTTCTTTCCTCTGAGTAAAAGTGTACATTTTATTTAAAAACCATATCGTTGGGTCTGTTTTATTACCACTACACAACGTGCGAGTTTAGAGACGGCAAATGTGATTTTGGAACCAAACGAGAATTAGAAAAAGTAGGCGGAAACCACGGGCAAGCTACTCTGTTATACAAAACTTTGGACGTACCCCATAAAGCTTTGTCACATCACCGCACAAGTCATTATTAAAGGTAGTTTATTTTAAGTCATTCTTATGGTCTAGAACTCATATTTCAGTTCGTCTTGTGGTAGAGGATTCCATGAATCTTTGGCAAACATTGCTGGACAACAGCTAATCTAGAGGAGTCCAAAAATTCATGTCAAACATTGCTAAAAACTTTAAGAAATCTAAAGATCTTGCAGGACACTGACCAATAGAAGAGAATATTATAAGGCATCTGGTCAGAGATATGTGGTAGTAAGATACACGATTTGTGTGGAAACTAGTGATCCAAAACCGAAAAAACTAAAATAAAAGATTGGTGTAAGTAAGAATCATGGTAAATACAGTAATTATATTGAAACTAATCGTTAAAAAGCAGAATTTTTAAATATAGAAATAAATGGTAAAATATTTGATATTCTAAATAGCAAAAAGTTGTAAAACATAGTAGTTGTATAAGAATATTGGTAAAATACAATATCGTTATGGATCGTAAAATCATCAGTTGTCCATCTCCGTCAAGTCATCGGATCTCAGTCTCCGTCAAGTCATCAGATCTCCGTCAAGTCATCAGATCTCCGTCAAGTCATCAGATCTCCGTCAAGTCATCAGATCTCAGTCTCCGTCAAGTCATCAGATCTCCGTCAAGTCATCAGATATCAGTCTCCGTCAAGTCATCAGATCTCCGCCAAGTCATCAGATCTCCGTCAAGTTATCAGATCTCCGTCAAGTCATCAGATCTCCGCCAAGTCATCAGATCTCCGTCAAGTCATCAGATCTCAGTCTCCGTCATGTCATCAGTTCTCCGTCAAGTCATCAGATCTCCGTCAAGTCATCAGATCTCCTTCAAATCATCAGATCTCCGTCTTCTACCAATTTTAATGAATCCTTACATACGTTCCTGGTCCATCTAATGTCATCAATCCACTCTACGACCCACTTAAGAGCACCCCAACCGTTTCGTAACCCATCTGACGTCGATAATTCGACTCCCAAACCACCTGGCGCCATCTATTCACTCTACGAACCACCTGAAAGAATCGGCCCGGAGGAGATTGACAAGTGATTATTAATTTAATCAAATTTATTAGATTTATTAGATTTTTTAAAGTTATTAATTATTTTTTTTCTATTTACTTATTAAAAACTTTTTATCTTTAGTTAAAACAAAACTAAAAATAAAAGCTTTCGTATAAATTCTTTATAAAATGTAATATCGGGCAATGTGGGGCTGGGCTGAGAATTTCACAAAATATGCCTAAAAGTAAGAATACGAATTAGCCCTCCCCCCCCCCCCGCCCCAAGGCTCGCAACCACACATTTAGTTCACGACCCTGAAATATATTAATATTCTAATTCCCGCATTCTTTTGCACAGCAGATCTATTTCAGCAGATCTATTTCAGCAGATCTATTTCAGCAGATCTATTTCAGCAGATCTATTTCACCCACAATTTTAGAAAAAAACAAAAAGAAAATATTACGCACCAAACCCACTTGCGATTTTTAAAAATAATAAATTAAAAAAAAAATAAAAAATCTCATTTAGCGAAGTTATAAGGAATTGAATTTTAGCTTACCCCTTTAAAAACGGTAGTAACTGATTCTTCGTCGTAGGGGCTGAACATTTGATAGAAAACGAGTCTGTGTGCCAAGTTTCAGCTCGACAGATTGAAGGGAAATGGGTTAATTGGCCGTCCGAAAATTTTGCCAGTCCGCCAGCGGCCACCCCTAGCACAAAAGCTTAGTTGATATAAAAGATTTAAAAAAAAAAAATAATTTTTAAACCAATATCTTTCTTCTCCTCCCCCCGCCCCCCTTGCTATCCCTCCTTCCCTTTTCCCTCCTCCCTTTCTCCCTCCCTCCCTTCATTCCTATGTTCCTTCCTTCGCTCCTTCCTATCTGTCTCTCTCTCTGTGATTCCTCCAAAACACCTCACATAATCCGCTGGCTTCCACCACTGTCCAGCTAACTTGAAAGTGGACATATTTGGTCTGAGATTGATCACCAGGAGCGAGAACAATCCTTAACAATGACCTCGAAATTGAACGCTGACCTAGCCACCCGCTAGACATCCATCCTGGCAAGTCTAACTCGTTCGACGATCTCTTGACCGAAGCTAGACCAGTTGGACCCGGCAATATCTTAAGTTTTCTATCTTTTAAGGCCATATTAAACTAACGAAGCGAAAATACCATTAACAAGTCTAATAATACGTGATCGATATTATTATTTGAATGTTACTCCAAGAAAACTACTGAATATTAATACATGGAATTCGACATGCGTGTTGAGATAATCGACATTTAAAAAAAATCAAAAAAAATCAATACATTCTTTAGCTAACAATCTTTTCTGTAAACAGAGTACAAATATTTGCCTAGATGTGCCTGAACTATTTTCATGTTTCGTTATATCTCTCTGTTTTGTGTTTTATCGAAGCAGACGACACGTTATAACAAATATCCACACGGTTATATCACTGCTCTTATAGTGTGTGTGTGTGGTACAAAGTATTCGAATAAGATATAAACACAAGTAATCTGGATTATTAAATAAATAACGTTGCTATGGTAACGCAATATAAACTTGAGATGTAGCAGAACCTCTCTTGGCCCGTGGCACAATACGACATAATTATATACCCCACAAAAGCACAGAAGTGAAACATGGGGACCCCCCCCCCCCACACATTTCTACTCAAACAGCTTAACAAAACTCAGAATAAAGTCCTACATCTTCCCACACCGCCTACCAAATCATAGGACAAAGCCCCACTTATCTCCCACATCGCCTACCAATACATAGGACAAAGCCCCACTTCTCTCCCACACCGCCTACCAAAACATAGGACAAAGCCCCACTTATCTCCCACACCGCCTACCAAAACATAGGACAAAGCTCCACTTCTCTCCCACACCGCCTACCAAAACACTCCACAAAACCAATTTCGCCCATGGGAATAGCACCACCTTGGGTTCAAGTGTTTGTCGACGATGGACGGTATCGATCCCTCAAACACCGTGACATTTCTTAGTCTCTTGGAGTATCGGACTACGTTTTTTTTGTTTTTTTTGTTTAAACCGTGTACCACAAGCAGTGATCCGTGGTGACGCATGTTACAGCGTGACTCTCACAGTGCTGACTCCTAGGGATAGCCGTGATACGATCCAGCCAGTGTGACTCTGATGGTGCGAACCATAACGGCCAAATGACAGTGCCTCTAGATATGACCATGGTGATGATGGTGACCCCCCCCCCCCCCCCCCCCCCAAATTCGGAATGTTTACATCGGCAGGTGGATTTAATGGCGCCTCATTGACGTCATAACAGTGGGTGTTAGGGTTGGTGTAAGGGTTGATGGTTGAGCTGATGGTAGAGCTGATAGTAGATTTAGGTTTGATGGTAGAGTTAGGGTTGTTGGTAGAGTTAGGGTTGTTGGTTGAGTTAGAGCTGATGGTAGAGTTAGAATTGATGGTAGAGTTAGATTTGATGGTAGAGTTAGGGTTGATGGTAGAGTTAGGGTTGTTGGTTGAGTTAGAGCTGATGGTAGATTTAGAATTGATGGTAGAGTTAGATTTGATGGTAGAGTTAGGGTTGTTGGTTGAGTTAGAGCTGATGGTAGAGTTAGAATTGATGGTAGAGTTAGATTTGATGGTATAGTTAGGGTTGATGGTTGAGTTAGAGTTGATGGTAGAGTTAGAGCTAATGGTTGAGTTAGAAATGATGGTAGAGTTAGAGCTGATGGGAGAGTTAGAGCTGATGGTAGAGTTAGAGATGATGGTAGAGTTAGAGCTGATGGTAGAGTTAGGGTTGTTGGTTGAGTTAGAGTTGATGGTAAAGTTAGAGTTGATGGTAGAATTAGTGTTAGAGTTGTTTGTGGAATTAATGTTAGAGTTGATGGTTGAGTTAGAGTTGATGGTAAACTTAGAGTTAGAATTAGTGTTAGAGTTAGCGTTAGAGTTCGTGGCAAAGTTACGGTTTGAGCTCGTGTTCGAGCTGATGGTACAGTTAACGAAATGTATAGTATTCTTCTCTGGTGACCTGCAGTTGTCATTAGCATGTTACGGTTAAGTAATTGGCATAGTTTCACGTCATTTCATCTTACTGCTAGCGTTGAAGTACTCTTTCTGTAAATGTTTCTGATTCCTACGATAGGGGCTGCGTCCGTTGATTTGGGACTTCTTGTCGCACCCCCCCAGGGTACTGGTGTCAATGTTTTAGATCCACTTTACCAGAACGTGGGGTGTAATGCGTCTGGCCTCAGTGGTGCAAGCATTATGGGGGTGCTGTTTTTTTTTTTTTTTTTGGGTTTCTTTTTTGTTTGGGTGGGGCAGGATGGATCATCTTTTCGCTTCTTGTTGACCTTTGGTTCGAAAGTACAAAGTTTTTGACTTGGTCAGNCACTTTACCAGAACGTGGGGTGTAATGCGTCTGGCCTCAGTGGTGCAAGCATTATGGGGGTGCTGTTTTTTTTTTTTTTGTGGGTTTCTTTTTTGTGTGGGTGGGGCAGGATGGATCATCTTTTCGCATCTTGATGACCTTTGGTTCGAAAGTACAAAGTTTTTGACTTGGTCAGCGGGGATTGTCTAAAAACCATAGTCTCATAGCCGTTTTTGTAACCCCCCCCCCAACCCGTTTTTCCTTTTAAGGGCTCGATTTCTTTGAAAAATCACCTTCTCTGCGCCACCCTCTCGTGTATGCTCGAGAATTGAACTCATCGCTCGTCCATCATTTTTTTTTTTTTTTTTTTTTTACGGCTAGACAGATGCAGAGAAGCATAGACTACATTGTGATTGACCAAAAAAAAACCCCCCAAAAAAAACAGCTTTAATGCGGTATTCATTTCAGATTTTATGAAAAAATTTAACAATATGCACGAGTTTTAAGTAAAAGATTACTAAAAAATAAAATTAAAAACTAAGAATTTTGACAAGTATATACGCGTGTAAGACATTTGACAAGTATTTACGTGTGTAACCCATGTGTAGTGATTAGATAAACCAAACCGGAAGCCGAATATCCAGATGTTA